AGCGTTCCAAAAGTGGAAGGTAGCGGTCAAGCGTGAGGGGGTCCAGCCACCTTAAAGCTATCTTCTGAGATTGGGAGCCATAAATGAACATTATGTCACGAGTTTGACATTTAAATATCATATATTCTTATCAAGGACCAGTAGATCAAACATTTGGAGACTTATTATTATTTATTTATTTATTCTTATCAAGGACCAGTAGAGCTAACATTTTCAGACTTTTGGCAAATGATTTGGGAGCAAAATACTGGTACTATASTTATGCTGACMAAACTAAAAGAGCTGGGCAAGGTTAGTAATAACAAAAACAATGGTTTGTAATCGGTCTCTCAGTTCCCAATTTTCTATCTTATCAAGACTGATTATTATTTTCACAGACCAAATGCCATCAGTATTGGCCAGAAAATAACGAAACGTACCGACACATAAATGTGAATATCCATAAGACCGAGGTGTTCCCGGATTACACCATACGTACGTTCTTGTTGAAAAAGGTCAGTGTATACATGCTATCAAAAATAAATTAGGATTTGACATAATGGAGCAGACTAGAAAACCCGATGATATTTTTGATTGTACAAAGGATTAAAAAGATGTATTGATTCACTAACATCCACTGTTTGCYGTTCACATTTTTTTCTGGTACAGACAAACAGTGACGAGAAGCGTTACGTGATACACTTCCAGTTCACCGTGTGGCCTGACAAAGGAGTACCACATTATGCAACTGCTGTTCTTGCTTTCCGAAGAAAAGTTAAAGCAATGAATCCTCAGGATTCAGGACCAATCGTAATACACTGCAGGTACTGATAATGTATTTTACCTAATCTTGACCAAACTACTTAGATTTTTTATGATTCATTTGTTTTATTCAGTAAAATAGCATTTGCTAATTTAACATCATAAAAAGGAAATCAAAGATATAACAACCATTTTAAATAAAACAACAGAATCAAACCAAAAAATTCAGAAGTGCATCCAAGACGGTGGCCATTAAATTTTACAAACACTCTCAATAAACTACTTCGAAGATACGGCGGCCACAACGGGTCGCAAAGCATTATGGRTCGTTTAGGGGGCAAAAGCTTTATAACATTAATGACATTGATATTAACAGCTCACCACGAGAGACTACAAGAAAAGATGAATTAAGACGGCAGATCGATCACCTTAACCCATAAAAGAAAGAMAGACAAACGAAACTCTATATATTTTCCTTCATCTTTGTTTTGTTTTGCCTCCTGGCAAGATGGCCGCCGTATCCTCGAAGTAGTCCATTAACTTACTCTAAAGGTGGTGTTACACGGGACAACTTGCAACGCCGATTTTTCGTGCAACGCTATTGCGCCATTTGTGTGTTGATTTTTTGCGAGATGTTACACGGGAACAACTTTTCGCGCAACATTCACTTTAGTATTCGTTCCACGCGCTGCCAACTCACTCACKGCTATCTTTTTTCTTMTTTTCTTGCTTTTATCATTTTTTATCAACTGCAAAAGTTTCATCTTATCCGTTTCATTAGGTTTAGACAATCGTTGCAGTTGCTGTACTGTTTAAACTTACTTCTTCTACAGACGGCGCCATTTTGTTGCGCGTCAAATCGGCCATGGACATGTTACACACATCGATTTACTGAAAATTCGTCATCTTGCGTTGCAAGTTTTTGAAGCCAAATCAAAAGCTTGCAACGTTACACCTTAAATCACGCTATTTTCTATTTGGTTTCATTTCTGTAGCGCTGGTATTGGTCGTACGGGATGTTACATTGTGATCGACGCCATGTTGGAACGATCAAAGAAGCTGCGAAATGTCGAAATAGCAAACTACGTCTCAAAGATCAGAAAAGACAGGATGAACATGGTCCAAACTGACGTAAGGAACAGCAAATTGATTATGATTATGATTATGATTATGATTATGTTGATGTTGATTATTATTATATTTTACCTCTATTTCTTAATTACCCTGATCAAATAGGGAATCAAAGTCCTTCCCTTCTTTCAACTTTGTCCCATTCTGTAGAAAAAATTGGGGGGAAAAAACAGATAAGAAAAAAAGATATGAACGTCTATTTCGTCATCTGTGTTCATGAATAGGAGCAGTACGTCTTCATACATCTGGCTATATTAGAATCTCTTACTTGCGGGAACACAGAAATACAAGCCTTTAAACTACAGGCTACGATGAACAAGCTGTTAACAATTAGTCCACAGAAAAATGCAACTGGTTACGCACTGGAATTTGAGGTAATTTTGAATTGACACGACAAGCAAAACTCTTGGGTTTCGAAATATTTTTCTATCGTTAATTTTTCGCATTTTGCTTTTAGCGTCTAAACCTTGTGACAGCTGATTATGCAGAAAACGAGTGTGATGTTGGTGGGTCGAAGGAAAATGCGTACAAGAACCGATACTCTGATGTTATAGCTTGTAAGTATTTTAATTTTTCTACAACAATTTATCTAGACTAAGCCCAAGGGAAAAAAAAACCAAAGGAAAAGCAAGGCCTAAAAAGTGTTGCGAAGATTTTTTATTTGTTTTACACTCAAAGTAGTAATGATGAAATCTGTTCAAATATTTCTCTTTCATGGCCAATAAGTAAATGACAGCCGAGTACAACTAATGAGAGAAGATACAAAGAACACGGACTACATAAATGCGTCTTTTGCCGATGTAAGTATTTAGTCCAATCAAAATGTTGTATTGGTGGTTACTGAACGGTGACATTATGTTGACGATGATGATCTTGAATCTATTGTCACGAGAGGTGGTCGTTGTATGTAGAAACAATCAGACACACTTACGAAATGTTTTAATGATGCACTGATGTGTAATTCCTGGAAGCATACGTCTATTTTAATAAAGGTTGGCGAAAGTTTTCTTGAATTTTGCATACCAAGCCAGAAATGCACTGTGGGCGATGTGAAGCACGGGTGGCGTAGCACGGATGGCGTAACGGTGAGAGCGCTCGCCTCTCATCAATGCGACCCAAGTCGAATCCCGCCAGGTTCAGTGTTGTATGGGAATAAAAAACATGTGGCAACACCAAAAACTCCAAGTACATTTTTTTAAATATCTATTTTTACGTATCCATGTCGTTTATGATAGAATGCATTATCGTAGAAACTTAGCACGACCTCAAAAAASTATACCCAAAGCTGTGCCAAATTTTAATATGCATTACAAAAGTAGTTCGTCTGAGTGTTCTTAAAGTCATTGCATCGTTGCATGTAATGTTTTTGATTATGTATAGTTTTCTCCCTTATTACTAATCGTTTCATTTATTGCTAAATTAATGTCCAGGCCTACAGAGAGCGCAACGCCTTCATCTTGACACAAGCTCCATTACAGAACACCATCGAAGATTTCTGGATCATGGTTGTGAATTATGACATCAAAACGATCGTGATGCTCAATACGCTCGAAGAAAAAAATGAGGTAAGTTCTTGCCTATTAAAGGACTAACTCGTGTTTATCTAATTGCTGCAACTGTTTTGATAATTTGTAATTACAGCAGTTTCCACAGTACTGGCCACATGAAGGATCTGACAAATACGGTGCTGTTACAGTTGAACTGAAAGACACGCGAGTTGTTGGTGCATCACGGGAAGTTGTTGCAAGAAGCCTGCATGTGTCATACAAATCGGTAAGCCATCAACGTAACATACAGGAATATATTCGATTCATGCAATGGGCAACTTTAACGTATGATTTCCGATTATTATTTCAGGCGAGGGTTCTTGTTCAACACCTGCAGCACTTGAAATGGGCCGACAAGTCCATCCCCGACAATCCACAGACTGTGTTAGAATTGCTAAATGAAGTTCAGCAGTCACAAAGACAGAGCAATAACGCCACGCCATTTGTTGTCCAGTGCAGGTWTGTTATCTCTGAAAATACTGATGCCACWCATCGAACTGTTTAATTCTTTAGGCCTGACGGATAAGAGGAAAAGTCGCAGCTGGCAAGTGGGAATCAAGCTTCTAGGTACTCATGGACAGCAACACGCTGACCAGCCTGATCCCTCATGCTGATGACCCAACGCAAACAACCACAACTGATCCAAACGGCTTTTATCACAATATCGTTTAAACCTTAAGTCATTTTGTTTCGAAGTTTTTTAAATGAGTGCAAATGCATTTCTCTCTTTTTTCCCCAGTAATGGTGTTGGTCGAAGTGGGACGTTCTGTGCAATATCTTCGATTCTGGAGAGAATGAAGCAAGAGCAAGTCATCGATGTGTTCCAAGTGGTCAAATGTATACGTTCAAACCGTCCAGGAGCTGTTGAATCACTGGTAATAATTTTAAATAGAAGCAATTGATTTTGTGACATCAATTAATTTTGATTCAAGAGATGAGTCTTTTAAGACAATTTAGCGGAGGTACAGTGAAAATCTTGTATTCATTTTCGTTCTTTTTCTAGTGATATTTTCTCTTTCTTTTATAGACCCAATATGCCTTCTGTTACCAAATCATCCAGAAATACCTCGATTCATTCGATGAATACGCTAACTTTTCCAGTTGTTGAATATTGTTAATTTTGGACGAGTGGATTTCAAATAACTTTTAGAGGGATTCTGATATAGAGTATTAATTAATTGTAGTAAAAAGGTGTGATAATCATCCACTATGAATTATCTTCTCTATTTCCTAATTGCTTTTTCTTATAATTTAAAGTAAATTTAGCTAAATTGTAGTAAATGTTAGAATAGTTATCCACTACTTTATTTTTAAGATATATATGAGCTTATCTGCTATTTTTTTACTGAAAGAAGCGAGGGGGGGGGAGTGGGCTGGTGCAAATGGGGAGGGTGCCATACCTTTTTGTTCAACCAAAAATGAGGGGCTGCATGAAATTATGCAAACATTTTTTGGGGGATCATGCGTTTTTAGTCAACTATTTCWGGTTTGATATAGCGTATAAAGCTAATTAGTTTACATTTTCATAGCAAATTTAAAGCATAGAATCTCGGAAGTGACTCCGAGAATACTTTGGAAAACACAGGTATTCGGACCCAAGCAAGGGGAGAGGGGGAAGGGTTTTCGGTGGGTAAAATGTTAAGGAATGCGTAAGAGTGTTTATAGAGCATGAGGGTATGGATGGGAATGAGCTCGTATGAATATTGTAGGTTGGAAGAGATATAGGAAAATATGAAATTTGTAAGGATTAATTTGAAGGCAAAAAAAAAAAAATTATGCACGCTACTTATGAACCATTTCTTAACGAAAATAATATAATGCATGTAAAATTGTTCCGCAGAAAATAGTAATAAAAGAATAATCATAAATAATTATAAATATATAGCTTAACTCAAATCATTTTTTCTTAGTTTAGTTGTTTGTTGCTGTTTTAAATTATTCTTTTTCTCGCCGTCTTACCTTGTTTTAACTTGGGTCAGCTTCAACTTTTCTCCATGGCCAGTTTTGCTTCTACAGTACTAGAATTTTGAACTAGGATCGTAAGCAATCCAGATTCGTGATTTTTTCTGCCTTTGCTTCTCATTTTACTACAAAAAATAAAAGTTAACAGTCACCGAAAAACCAGTCTATAAATTATASAATTTTATATTCGTGAACACTAGTGAACTTCTAAATACCTGAAAACAACTTAGAATATATCATATTTTTTACCACAATTGTAAATTTTCTCGCGCGCTGATTGGTTAAAAAACGTCGTAAATAAGAGGCCATACCAACAAATGGCGTCATGCAAGATTTCGTGCAGTCTATTTCCTAGAGTGTTGTGAGTTTTGTAGTAAAAAACAAATTTACGATGGTTTAGCGTGGTATGTCCTCTTATTTACCACGATATGACGCCAAACGTTGGTCAAAATTAGTTATGGACCCACTCGGCTTACGCCTCGTGAGTCCATAACATTTTGACCAACTTKTGACGTCATATCGTGGTAAATAAGAGGACATACCACGCTCAACCATCGTAAATTTGTTAATTTTACATACGTAGTGTTCGACCGCTCTTGACTTGTCTCGAATCATAGACCCTTTAGATGCTTTTATTTCTTTCATRTCCAATTCTCTCGTATCAACAAAACATCGAATATACTTTTCTTTCTTATAATTTATATCTTTTAAACCCCTTTTTTTCTGCCGTTTACCTAATAGACGAGTTTCTTCTTTCTTTCTTGAGTCTTTCTTGTAAAATGTTTTCGGATTTTTCTGATACTCTCGCTCGAGATCCGAAAATCGCAGACGCGTTTTCGGAAAGCGCGCGAAAATCCTAGTTGGTTTTTTTTTTTTTCTGAAGTGGGCTTCCTGTGTAGGATTTAGTTTTGTCCCTTTCCTCGTTTGTTTCTTTGCTTCTTTCGGTTTCTTAGTGCTTCTTGTATTTTATTTTTTTYCCCTTTTCTTGTGTTTCCTCGGTTTTTGAATCCGACTTCTAAATTTGTTTGATTGCTTCGTTTTTCTTTCTTTGATTCGTTTTTTCTTTGTTTTGGTTTTTCTCTTCTTTCGCCGGTTTTATTATTCTCAAGAAAATATGAAGTGCTTCATATTCTCTTGTTATTCTCCACTTCATTCTTTCCTTCTTCCCTTGCTTCGTTTTGTTTGTTTGCTTATTTTTCCTTTCTCTTATAACAGAGATCTGTAGATGTCCAACAATAAGCGAATATTGATTTCTAAATCGCTAAATCAAACTGAGCCGTAAGRATATGGTATGGGCTATAAATGTACATCCGTTTTGCAAGACACAAAAATGAAAAATATATGTTTTAGTTTAACAAATGTTTAATATTTATTATTATTATCATTATTAAAACAGTTCTTTGCCATAGAATAATAGCCGATTTTAGACTTGAAGCAAGCGCGTCGAGCATAGCAGTTTTTATGGGCAAAAGTTATATTCAGCAGCATTCTCATTGTAAAATAAACTGGATATTTTTATTCGGCATCGGTCTATATTTTCACAACTCTTTTTAATAACATTAATACGTCAATAACGTATGACTTTTAATTTGTCAATATCATGTGTTTTGTTGTTTTATTGATTGATTGATTTTTTCTTAATCTTTTTACATAGTAAATCGTTTCTAATTAAAGATCTGGTCTGATCTGCCTTTTTATAACGATCGGTAAAAACCATTCATGTTATGAAAATATGTTGACACCAGTCAAACWAAAGGTATGATCCCAGCCTCCATATTGCCTGCTATGAAGTCATCTTTGGGTGTTGAAAGAAAAATATTCATAACGGCAGTTCAACAACTCAGTACAAACACAGTCGACGTTATCCGATAATGGGAATCCTAAATAGTTTTGAAGACCAAGTTACTTCGATGACTCGACTTTTGATTTCCTGGAATATGTTCTTCTGAACATTTTATCGATATTTTCCAGGTAGAAACTTCCTGGAAATAGATTTTGTAACGAGCCCACAGGTGTATAACTGCTAGCATGATACGCCTTTTCTCGAATTTCCAAAGTCTTTACAAAATCCTCTGGTAAGACTTCGCATCTCGCCGCGAGGCGTGACGGGACGTCTTCTACCGAAGCAAGAAGGCGGTGAAGAGGCGAACTTGGACGAAAATCTTCGGCAACCCGTAACGAAAACATTGCAGAAGCTAAGCCTGATCCGTAAGAATACATACCAATACGTTTGCCAGCTAAGTCAGAAGCAGGAATACTAAAAGAATAATTATACGGCCAATTACATGTACAGTATGTTATTTTTCTCACCCCTGAGGTGGAAACCTTTTTGTTTATTTTAGGGTTAAAATAACTCCCTTACTTCCAGCATTAACTTTTCTGCCCTTTCCTTTGGTGATGGGATAAAATAAACAAAAACCTGTAACCAAGCTCCTCCCATTTTTAACCCCTCCCCTTCCTAGCTATTTTTTAGGAATGCTAACTTTTACCAATAAAGGATAGGGTAGGGTTACTACAGTGGCGGATCCAGGATTTTACAAAGGGTTTCCGTTTTTTAAACTTCCCAACCGTATACAGCCTATTGTTTGGTCGTTGTTGGACAAATAACATAATCAAACCCTCAAGGGGGTATTCCATAGCACCCTTTGAGCCCCCTCTGGATCTACTTCAGCAGGAAATATGACAAACAAACAAACAAACCATTGATCAAGAATATAGAATAACAACATCAATAAAAAAGAAAACAAAAGAAAACAACAAATTTTAGAGAAAAAATTACCCAAGACTTACCCATAAAGCAAAGAGACAAGACCAGAATACAAGGATGGTGTGTACATATTTCCAACCTCTCTTGCTATATTGATGGATGGTAAAGCCTTGGCTTCAAATATTTTCTGACTTGCTTTAACAGAAGCACGTTCTATCTCTTTGGCCAGTGTCTCTTGGTYCAATGTTTCACTAAGACTGAGACATCTGGTAGCAAAATAGCAAGAATAAACAATATTAATTTATTGGATTAATATGATAGCTTTTGGAAGTTTATTTTGATCAGGGCATTACTGGGCAAAAAATAGTATCCCACTATCTAACATTATTTGGCAAGAACTGGAAATTAGCCCAGTCAAGTTTTTGCCTTGCCTGGTCACTTTAACCAGTAACACTGAATAGGACATTTGCATGATGGCGTCATTGACCTCTACTACCAGACTCCCTTGTATTGTACACTTTCTTTTGTTCAGCTAATAAGCACCAATTGTCTTACTATTCTCAAGAGGAAATACAAATTTGAATAAGAAGGAAATTCGTAAAGCATTATGGTAGTGAGAGTCAAATGACGTCATCATGCAAACATCCAACCAGCCATTACTTGTGGCTCAGCATTAACACAATRATCATGCATTTTTAAAACAAAATCTTAGTGTATTTTCTTTCTTGAGTTGACAAGGGATGTCAGACATTAGGACCTGCTAGAAATGCTTGGTACCAAAGTCCAGGAAATTATTAAACTATACCTGTATTTTAATAAATCATTATAGCAGCCATTAACATCCACATCTGATTCCTGCTCTGCCAGGAARTCAGCCAAGACCATCCTTGCCACACACTTCTGAACAATCTTACAAAAGGGTGTATGGAATGCTATATAATCCATAGCATTAATATTGACTCTATCATGACTTTCTTTTTTGGCCAACTTTTCTTTATATCTTTGGTAGCAATGATCAACAGCTCTAAAGTAGCATTTCACAGACAGCTTGCCGTCAACTACTGGATACTCTGAGGACATGTTTGGTTTGTAAAAATCATATACATGTTGCATGTGAACACCTCTCAAACCTAGAAGATAAAGTTTAAAATATCAACTTATTTTTATACAGTAGTATTMCTTCTTTGTTTGGCTGTCATGCATGAGAAGACACATGAATATGGGGATACAACACAAATGAAAATGTTGTTATCAAGAGAACGACGCATGGTCTGAAATAGGAAAAAAAAATGCCAGAGTGGATTTGGTCTATATAATAAATGCATACATGATCCTTTTCTCCTCTTTTGTTTTTTACTTGATTATCTYAGTATGATATTCAAATCCCTACCTCTTTCAATAACAAGGGGTGCATTAGGTCCAACAAGCATTGCAACAGACCCAGCTCCTCCAGAGCTTCTTGCATTACCGGCAGCATATACAGCTATATCAGCAGCCACAACAACAGCAAGACGACCTGAAAAAAATATCATATCAATCAAAATCTCATTTCTAGATTAATATGTCMAAAGAAATATCATTATCATTGTTTCTATGGCAACTTAAAAATTAATAGTATTAGAGTTATGGAACAAATGTTAGACTGTGTGTTTATCTGAGGGAGGAGTTACAGTAGGAGAAGGGAAAAAATGACAGAAAACATTCCGGATTGTGATTTCTTCTTGTTCATACTATAACATACATGTAAGTTTGATCAATATTAATGTTTGATGATATATAAAATAATATCTCTTTATTAATGATGAAATCTAGGATAGAAGTATAGATTAATTTATCATTAGTCGCTGCAGTAATCAAAAGGGGAACTCTGAAACTCCATCAGGGACTTTTTTTTCAAAGTTTCCCTTTCAGCGAGTGACTGTGACAAATATGATAAATTATTCAATAATATCTCTTCTTTGTAATTCAAATTTCTTCTTTAATTCTAATTTCTTCTAAGGACTAYCATGAAAAATATTAGACTGTGTGTGTGTCTGTGGGGAGGATTAGGGGGGAAACGACAAATATAGGCATGAAGTAAATAGTAYTCTATTTTTGTAATTCAAATTTTTTCAGTATCTCACAGACATGTTTGCTTTAACAAACACATTATGCAAACATTTTCCATAATTTGGGTGGCAAATTTGTCACTATAAAAGCAAAAAAGATAACAAAAAACAAACCACATGCAAATTCCTTAGCCGTCACTTTTATGATGATATATAACAATAAAAAGTGTTGCTAYGCTGAAACTCCCCTTGAGTTTGAAATATTTTTGACACTATCTATCATAWTTAGTGCTACTGACAATGGAAAATGCCATACACCTTCCAGCATGATTTAATATAAGATAATAAGATGATAAGATTATAAGATCATAAGATATAATATTTGATACAAAAAAACAGAAAAGAAAAAACAAATATTTACATATTGTGCCTTATATTAGTTATTGCTGGAACTGAAAGTCAACAATTATTAAAACTAGAATTTATGAAAAGAGAAAGAAATCACCTGCCATACATACTAAATATTCTATATCTTTAAAATCCTACATCTTACTCCAAAAAGTGTAAAATCATGAGATAAAGGTTTCTTGGGAAAACATGATTAACTAGAATCTTAAAGAATTTTATGGAGTTCATTGTGGGTGAAATGTCAAAAAGCAGAATTATATTAGTTTTGAAGCAAAACAACAGCTCTTTGCTTTTCTATTGCTTTGCTTAAATCATTATTTCAGAATGGAACAGATACAGCTGTACAGTAGTTGTTGAATTTCCAAAAAGCAGAATACAAAACAAAAACTTTTTTGTTTTAGTATTTCTTCTTCTTCCTCTTATTATTAWTATGCAATGAAACAAATAGTATAAAGTGGTTTTTAGTGGGTTAAAGGTACAACTACACAGAATACCCCACATCGATAGAGCATGATAAGGCTATGGCCTACATAGTTAGCCTAGATTGTTGTGTTAGGGGGCTACAAAATCATAACAAACACAAAACATGGTGGGTTATAGGTACAACTACAGAATACCCCACATCGATAGAGCATGATAAGGCTATGGSCTRCATRGTTAGSCTAGATTGTTAGAAGGCTACCACAGCTATGGCTAAGAGTTAGGGTTARTCTGAAATGTAGTCCTGATGATTAAAAGTGATGAGTTTAGTAGCTGTTATCTACCAGCAGTTCATTCCAGTGTTACTGCAGCCCCGTAACCCAGAAGCTGCGTAGTTCAGAGTGAGGGCTAAGGTTAACTTAGGATTTTCATGTGTAGCCAAATGACTAGAAAGGATAGCAGTCTGCTTTGGCAGGGTATTCCATAGTTACTCAGRGTTAAATTTGAAATCTCAGTATGAAAATACATGTATCTCTCGCTATCTGTCTGTCTGTATGTCTCTGTGTCTCTTGTTGTTGAGGGGTGGAGCTTTAGTATAGTGCACGTCACCACCTGTGCTATTCTGGTTTTCCTATCACTCAAACTTTTGATGACACTGCTCAAGGAGAGTAGGCTAAGCTTATTTACAATTTGAAACAAAAAAATTATTCTAGGGAATTGAAACCTACAGTACAATAACACGTGGAAAACTGTACTGCAAAAAATTTCTAAACCAAAAAAAAAAGTAGACTAAAACAAATGTAGGTTAAGACATAGAGCCAACTCACCGTCCCAAGCACTGCTCTCAATCCAAGCTAGAGCATTAAAAAGAGCTTGAGTTCCTCCATAGCAAGCGTTGGTGGTGTCGATCCCTTCAACATCACTATTCCCCGATTCCTCAAACAGCTGCATCAAAACAGTCTTCACCGACTTCGATTTATCAATCAAAGTCTCAGTCCCAACCTCAAGTCGCCCTAYATCTTTAGGATCTATGGAATTCCTCTCAAAGAGATTCTGAACCACAGTAAGAGCCAATGAATTGATGTCTTCGCGATCTCCACAAAAACCCATGCGTTTTTGACCGAGGCCGATTGTGTACTTGCCTTTACTAACACCATCAAATTCCTCCAATTTCTCTTGACAAACGTATGTTTTAGGGAAATAAATTTCTATCGCTAGGATTCCAACATCTTCTGGCCAGTGTTTTGGGGCTTCAAATATGTCGTTAGACATTTTTTTCATGGAGGTTTTCTCTTCTAAAATGAACTCAGCTGATCATGAAGCAAAATGCCGACGCTTAGCATTTTATTTCTGAAAGGTAACCACGCTTTCGGTCGGATTTTATATTTACCGGAAGTTACCTGTAATTTTGAAGGTGACGTTTCATCCGGTATGAGTTAATTTGCAGGAATCGGATGATTTTTCAAGCAAAAACAACCAAAGTTATGATTAGTTATAAATTGAAAACGAAAAAAAAAAAAAAAAAAAAAAAAAAA